AGTATACATCTCACCTGTAATGTTTATTCTGGGTTTCAAAAACTCAACAGGAAACTTTAAAATTCACACTTTAAACAGATTCAACATTATCAAAGCATCTCAAAAAGGTTAGATCCAGAGTCTTCCTGTTGATGCTGTACAGGCGAATTCACGACTTAATGCAGATTCATGAGTAAATCACTTCAGCGAGGACGGATTTTAGTTTCCAGTCTCCACAACTTACATAAGTCTGTTTGGGATTCGGTTTTATTTCGACAAAAGGCTGCTGCTGCTGAGCTTTGACCACCGCGAGCCTTAACAGTATGTGACATTTCCAACTTTTCCATAGTCTCCATTAAAAGCCGCCGCACCTGAGGCAAGTGATTCAGACTGAATGTGTGACAAAGGAGACAGAAGGTTTCCTGTGCGGGGCTCGCTGTGAAACTGTAGGTCACTCAGCACCGGGTGTCCTGCTAAAGATTTTTTTTCTGTGGGAGTCACTTCAGGTCCAGGTGCAACATTCTCTTCTGCCTCCCTTTCTTTCGCCGTGTTCTCCGTAAAGGTCACTCCACGCTTCGCTGTGACTGTAGACTGAGAAAGTCTGTGGGGTATGGAGAGCGAAAATAAAATGGCTTTTTCTTATCAGCTGCAGGAGTGCTCTGCAAATGAAGCTTTCCTCCGGCTCATCCCTCTTTTCCCTGGCAAATGAAGCTCTGGCAGTCAATTGATGTCCGCCGGTGATGTCGTCGCCGCCGTCGTCGTCGGGAGGCAGCAAGGTTGCGCGAAGGTTAGGTAAACAATTAGGCCGCCCGACCCGCCTCCCCCCTGGGGGGAGGGAACATGGGAGTTGGCTGCACTTTAAGTGGCAGGTGCTGCAGGATCGCTCCAGGTAGATCTGTCTGTTTAGGACAAGTTAGCGTTTCATCCAATCTGTCTTCCCCCCAGAGGGAGAAACAAACGGAGCAGCATCGTCTGCGAGACATGTCATCTGTTTCTGGAACAGAAGGCAAAACATCTTTTTCATGCTGCTGCACTGGGTGGCTGATGTTTCGTGGATAGAGGCGTTTGGACTCACAGAGACATTTCTGCAGAGTTTGTGTGTGTTTTTAGGTTGCAGAGCTGCAGGAATAAAGCAACGATTGTTATCTGAAATGCATTAGAATACCAAGAGTTTGACTGCAATTCATCCGATGATGGAAGCTCCAGATGTCTTCAGAAGTTGAACTAGTCTGAGTTTGATCATTAGGAAACTTTAGGGATTTAAAAAGAATTTGGCTATATGCATATGTACATTAATGAGGATTTATGACTTTTGATAAATATTCAGTCTATAATTAAAAACAGGAAGTTTCTTTTTAACAACCTGTGAGCATTTTAGGCCAATTAGTTTATAATCCAGCTGTTGTTAAGCTCCACCTTTATACAGTGCTGCAACTTTTTCCCAATTTTACAAGCTGTCTAAAAAAAAGTAGCTAAAAAATAATTGTGGTTTTGTTTCTATAGCAGCGTTTTCTCCAAAAATTCAATTCAATTACTTGAAATAACTGACAGGAAATAGAACAAAGGATCCATTTAAATGATAAAATAAGTTTAAATAAGTGCAATAGAAGCAGAATTTGTAGCGTCATGAATTGTGGTTGCAGCAATATTTAGAAATGATTAATATTTTCTTTTAATATATCTGGTGGGGTTTTCACCTCCACATTTATTATTTTTAGTTGTACCACCAAAATATGTTTAAAAAAAACAATCCTACCACCTACCTGTCTTAATTTACCTTTATTACAATATATATGATTTATGGCTCTATTATGATGTACCTTTTATTTTACGTTTGTCTCGCCAACAGTTACGTTTCCTCTCACGTTTGATTAATGACCCGCAAAACAATAGATGAAACACTGACCCTCACCTTTTAATACGCTCCGATAATGAATCTTTATGGCGCCTGATTAACGTTTGAGACGTGATTGGTGTGAGCGTTCATTAGCTCACTCTGAGGCTGAGAGATAACAAATGGCACCAATGGTAAGTGTCCAAGTGTGATTTATGCAGTGATTTATGTAATTATCTACCCAGTGGGCTTGCCAGAAAGTCCGATGAATGTTATCCTTTACTCGCCGGATGAGCATCATTCATTGTAATATCGCTGAGTACAAGAAACGCAGCCGGAGCTTTGGGATTTGCAAGCTGAGAGATCAAATATGTTGCGACGGGGAGTTTTACAGTGAGGAATTGATAAGATTCAATAGTTATTATTGACTGTTGTTCAATCAGTCTAATTAGGAACTTGTCTTTCAAAGTGAGAGAATCCGTTTTAGTTTGTGTCCAGAGGCTCTCTGGAGATGCTTTATTGTAAGTGACTGGAGCTTTTACTGCTTTTAAATACAGTTCAAATGTAATACTAACTTTTAGGAGCTATGAAACGGTTTCATATCCACTGCAGCATCCACCCAGACTCTATTGTTTGCCCACTGCAGGTTCATTTGACCATATGCTGCCATATTTAGTTGTTTTCGCTGCGGCAGTGTTGTGAGATTTGACTTTATGTCTCAGATTACAATCACTGACACTGTTTTTCTTCTGTCCAGTCCAAATTATAACAAACAAGGTCACAGGAAAAAAAAAAAAATCGTTACGCCTCAGACTGTCCTGATGTTAGGACACTGGAATGATTGAAATCTGAGTCGGCTCCTTACATTAGATCCTGTGAGTGTGAAGCTGTAAACCATTGTTGTCAGTGGCAATGTGTTCAATTAGATATAGGTATAATTGTATTCTTTGTTTAGCTTGCGCTCAAGGAAATTTGTTGTTTACAGATCATAAACATAAAAAGCTAGACACTGTCACTATTTCATGATTGTTATTATCACTACTATTTTTAAATAAATAACAATCTACCGTCCAGTTAGGTTTGTGTTTCCAGACTCCCAATTGCTCCGCGGTCTGGCACCGCTTTAAAGGCTTCACCGGCCGGGCTCAGTCATTGTTGTGCAGATCCATCATCCTCGGTGCTGCTCATACTTGTCAAGGTCTTTCCTGGGTGGAAGACAGGAGCTGTAGCAGGGACGTTAGAAGATGACGGCACAGAAAAGCTCCAACTTCCTGCTGGGCTCAAGGCCACGGTGTTCAACAGTAGCGACACCATTGAGCCATTGTACTGATTTTTTTTTTTTTTTATTGACAGTGTTCGTGATGTCCTAAATCACCAGTTAATATGTCTTCAAAGCAAATCAGGGCATTTAAGAGTCAGACGTGCCCTTATCTTCCCGTGTCGTGTCTGTTCTGATGCCGTCTTGCTCTCATAGTGAATCCATCAAAGAGGTTCCTGTCATGGCTGCAGCCTTCAGACAAGGGACAGGCACACATTTTGTCATTTTTTACATTTTAATAAGCATCATAAAGTGTGCACAGTTAATCAATAGATATATACGTTTTGCCTATTGAGTAAATAAATATGATATTGATACGAACATTTCAACTAATTCAGAGGAATTCAGCTGGTTCAGGACTCACTGCACTTTGTGGATTCATTCTCACTCATACGCTGCCGCTGAAGTTTTTTTATTCCTGTTATCTTAATTGTATTGCAAGCATAAAAATTAAATGACTTTTTTAGCATTTAAAAAAAAAATGCTGCTCCCAAGTGTAAAGTCCTGTTTTTTTACGGATGATGCGTTCAGTGATAAGATTAAAAAAACAAACGAAAAAAAATATGAATCTCAAAGGAAATTATTTTACCAGATATTTAAAAAAAAAAAAAACTAAATTACTACCAAAAAGCAACAAAATATAAGAAAAATAAATGACTAAAAATAAGAAAGTAAGCTAAAACAGAGCTGTAGATTAGAAAAGTAAGAAGTAGTAAAGAAATAA